AGAGTTGTAACTAGGCTAATATAATAGGGAAACATACAAACAACACATGCATATACCAGATACAATTGTAACTGATTAGTTATAGTCTAAATAAAGAAAATGTCTTTATGTGTGTGTGTGTGTTATGTGTATTGCGAGCATGGGGGTAGTTCGCTGGCCATCAGACATCTGGTGCCAGGTACTGTGATGACTGGAATTGGAATGTGTTTGAAGTCGATGGGGAGACCAGAGAGTTGATCTGGTTACCATCTTCTTGATAATGGGGGAAAGACCATTGGCAATTTAGCACCCATACAACTGTAGAATCTGGGGCCAGGACTGTAATTTATATGCAAATGTCAAAAGGCTGAAAGGGTCTCTGAGACATAAAGCCCCCATGACCCTCAATGAACCTAAGCAGACGCTACAGTAATTAGAAAGCAATCCTGCCCCTAGTCAGTGGAAATGAATATTAGCTGGTTTAGTCCCAACTGATGGCCTATAAAAAGGTGTCTCATTACCAACGTGTCACACAAGAAACATTTCATGATGGGTAAAAGCAAAGAGCTCTCTCAAGACCTTCACAACCTTATTGTTGCAAAACATACTGGTGGCTTTGGTTACAGAAGAATTTCTATACTTCTGAATGTTCCAGTGAGCACTACTGGGGCCATAATCCGGAAGTGGAAAGAACATAATTTCACCATAAACTGGCCATGACCAGGTGCTTAGGGTTGGGTACCGAACTCTGTACTTTTAAGGGTACCGACCGAATTGCGTCGGTACTACCAAGTACCGATTCACATTAAATCAATCGGTGCCAAATTTCAGTACCTGAGAACGCATCTGGGCGCATACGCGACAGACAGAGAAAGCGAGACCCTGTGACGTGATGTCACCCCTGCAGCTCATTCAAACAACACACAGGGCAAACTGAAATGTTCTAAAGTGTAGTTACATTTCTAGGGCCATATGGTTTCTGCGAAAATGCGGACGGGATCGCAGAGTCCATTCATAAAAATTTAATTTACTCTATAGCGCGGAATGCAACGGAATTTGTAAATTTTGGACGAATAAATCAAAAGTAGCCACTGCCACTTCATTTGAAAAGCGATATGAACTAGTGTCAGTGAATATTAAAATGCAAAAAGACGGTTAAAATATGAATCCTGCATGTTTCCGCTTGCTTCTGTATGTATGAATGGCGGAAACGCGGTTTTGTTTACTACACAAATACTGAAGCACGCGTGACGCTCGCGGTGATTTTTGGCTTCTGCGTCTCACTATATGATGGCATGAACACAAAAACTTAATCTTCAGAGCTGCTGTGAGAGTCACTTCACGAGAATTTTACCGTTACAAAACTAGCATCATCATACTGTATACAAACAGAAACTTCATGGCAACCTGTCAAAATAAAAGTACGGTTTAACATGGAACAGAAATATATTACTCTTGTATTACTTTTGTAAAGTATAATGTACATCTTTAAATGTTCGATTTTTTATCAAATTTAAATAAAACAATTAAATTATAAAAATAAATATTTCAACCAGATTAATTACTTAATTGTAGAAAAAAATAATACAATTATTAGCCTATTTAAAAAAAAGTTTTAATGGAATATTCACACAATGTTTCTTCAGTTTGTTTGCCAAAAATAAAAGGGTTTAATTTTAATTTGATTTAAAATAAATGTTTAATGCCTTCATTTGATTTTCAGAAATATTAAAACAAGTTTCTGGGGGGGAAAAAAAGAAAGAAAGAAAAAGTTTGTAAGGCCCTATTGTTCAAAATGTTGAAATTGAGACTTTTGGACTTATTTTTTCACTGAAATAAATGTTTTTGTTATTACACAGAGTAAAGTACCGAAAAAAGGTACTGTTGGGTACTGGTACCGAAATTCAGGTACCTATACCAGTACTGTACCTGTTAAAATGTGAACGGTACCCAACCCTACAGGTGCTCCTCACAAGATTTCTGACAGAGCAGTGAAAAAAAAATTATCAGATGAGTTTTCTAAGAGCCAAGGACCACTTGTGGAGATATTCAGAAAGACCTGGAATTAGCAGGTACAATTGTTTCAAAGAAGTAATGCACTCAACTGCTGTGGCCTATATACACGCTCACCACGCAAGACTCCATTGCTGAAGAAAAAGCATGTTGAAGCTCGTTTAAAGTTTGCTGCACAACATTTAGACAAGCCTGTGAAATACTGGGAGAATATAGTCTGGTTCGATGAGACCAAAATTAAACTTTGGATGCCATAATACACACCATGTTTGGAGGTCAAATGGCACTGCACATCACCCCAAAAACATCATGGTCTGGCACTAGCATAGTTCATATAATTGAAGGAAGGATGAATGGAAAAATGTACCAAGACATTCTTGATAAAAATCTGCTGCCATCTACCAGGATGATGAAGATGAAACAAGGGTGGACATTCCCAATGATGCCAAACACACAGCCAAGGAAACTCTCAATTGGTTTCAGAAAAATAAAATAAAGCTGCTAGAATGACCCAGCCAATCATCTGACTTGAATCCAATAGAAAATCAATGGAAAGAACTAAAGATTAGAGTTCATAGAAGAGGCCCACAGAACCTTCAAGATTTGAAAACTGTTTGTGTGAAAGAATGGGCCAAAATCACACCTATGCAATGCATGCAACTAGTTTCTCCATACAGGAGAGGTGTCTTGAAGCTGTCATTAACAACAAAGGCTTTTGTACAAAGTAATAAATAAATTTCAGTTAGCGTGTTCAATACTTTTTCCCTGGGTCATTCCATTTAATTACACAGAACTTAATTTCTGAACTTATTTCTTTGGAGATGAAACAAGGGTGGACATTCCCAATGATGCCAAACACACAGCCAAGGAAACTCTCAATTGGTTTCAGAAAAATAAAATAAAGCTGCTAGAATGACCCAGCCAATCATCTGACTTGAATCCAATAGAAAATCAATGGAAAGAACTAAAGATTAGAGTTCATAGAAGAGGCCCACAGAACCTTCAAGATTTGAAAACTGTTTGTGTGAAAGAATGGGCCAAAATCACACCTATGCAATGCATGCAACTAGTTTCTCCATACAGGAGAGGTGTCTTGAAGCTGTCATTAACAACAAAGGCTTTTGTACAAAGTAATAAATAAATTTCAGTTAGCGTGTTCAATACTTTTTCCCTGGGTCATTCCATTTAATTACACAGAACTTAATTTCTGAACTTATTTCTTTGGTTTTCTTTGTATGTATGGATTACTTGGGTTGTTACCGACATCTGGGGCCCGTTCTTCGTACGTCGCTAACTCTGGATTTGATTGTTGATGATTTGGCATGATCTTGGATTGTTTGGTTCTTCGAAGCTCATCCCGGAGTTGCTGTCATAGCAACAGGTCCGTAAGCTAAACCTGCTCGGGAGCAGGCTTATTTCATGTAAACAGGATTAGATTACATCTTTTTAAGCAGAATTGATACTTAAAATCTGTCCGCTACTACAGCTACTTTATTACAAGAGTACCCTACTAATCCACGGACAATAATTTAAAATAATAATCATTAAAAAATTTATTTAAAGATAATATAATAATGTTGTGTAGTCTTTAATACTATAGACACAGCCAGTTTTACTCACTGAAAGATTTATTCGTCATAAAATTATTACTTCATAATTGTATTCGAGTCTTACACACATGCTATACAGATAATGTAGAGTTGTGCATTAATTTGAGTGGTGACAGATATTATGGGAGTGGCTTGATGGAGCGCAGGGGATGCAGATAACATGAACTTGACCCTTAAGAAACTTTAATTAATGCTATCACATAACAAATCTGTTCAAATATAAAATTAAATGAATTGCTAATTGCTACATTGAAATAAAAATGTAAAGCATGTACAAATATTACAGATCGTGAATATAAATAATTGGGATTCATGTAAAAAAATTCAAATAAAATAAAAACATTTATCCATTTATCTATTATAACATTTATGTAGTTTTGTTCGCTTGGCTGTTTCCTTATAAAAGTCCAAAAATGTGTCAAGTTTTTCGTCAGGTGTCTTTTTTAATGATATGATGTCATTACGTTGCTGTCTTGCCGCCAGCCAATCGCTGCATTGCTGATCGTGGCTTTGAGTATCGATACATAGCCCCTTTTTTTACCAACTCATGAATGCGCAATTATCTCAGATAACTCAATCCAGCCATACTAATCATCAACAAAAGGTGCGTTCGAAGAACCGAATTGGCCAGATCCTGATTAGCGCAATGATATCATCTTGGATGTGACATTTCATCTCAGATGTAATAAGCGACGTACGAAGAACCGGCCCCTGGTGAAAATTTCATGTCAATAGCACCTTTAGAAATATATTTACTGAGAAAAATGGTGACGTGTTAAATACTTATTTTATCCACTGTGTATGTGTGTGTGTGTGTATATATATATATATATATATATATATATTAGGACTGTCAATAGATTAAAATTTTTAATCAGATTAATCGCACTCTTTTTCTGTGATTAAAGTGCGATTAATCGCACACTTCATGAAATTAAGCATAGACCATTTATCTTGTTTCAAATGGTTATTTTGTCATAATTTGCTATATTCAGCAAAGTAAACCAAAAGATTGAAGGGTGGTTCTCAAAAATCTCTATTTTCTGCAAGCTTTTCTCAGGATAAATGTAGATGTCTTTCCAAAAAAGGACTCCAAAAGGACACCAAAGAACCAAATGATATAAGGAGCCCATATATGAAAGAAAAAAAATGCAAATATATATATATATATCTGAATTGTATAGTATGTGTGCAGTGCAACAGCAAATAGCTTTTTTACATTTTAGAGAAGTCAAGTTGCATAACCGAACAGGACCACATGGAGATGCCAAAAAATACCCTAAACCATCTGCCGACTGCATATATCTACTACAGTACATGGATCCATTCCGTATAACTAAACACAGCAACATACACATGACAAATTAAAACATTATCGCGAATGTGTGTGGAAACAACGTGAATGTACCGAAATGTCTGTGCCTGTGCATAAATACAATGTGCGATCAGTGTGTCAAGAGCACTCATACACGCATTAATATAACGGACTCACTCGTGCTTACTGTACTGTACGACTCCTGTACACCACCGCAATCGTCTCATCTTTACCTTGATTGCAGTCTTCATCCATCAAAACTTTACTAGCGAGACTGGTTATCCAGTCGAGAAAACGTAGTTTGCGTCTCATCTGGCCATACGGCGGTGGGATGTGTTGACAATCCGTTCAGTCTGTACTTCACACAGCGCGTGTGACATGTGAGGGCTCGCGCTCTTCAGAGACAATCACAGAATATGACAGAGCTCATGTTTAAAAGCGAAAAAACACACTGGAGTGAATAATTCACTGAAAATGCGACGCAAGTCTCTGTTCTCTCTGCAATCTCTGATGTAATCAGCCTGGTTTCCTTTATATTAGCGCTGTTTTGGACGGATTGTTTGAATGCATTCACTTACTGGATCATTGGACTGAAAACTTTCCAGGAGTTTAGCAGCTTAAAATTATCTGATCGCAAGCAGAGAAGCAACAGTAATTTTGCGTTAACTGCATTAAATTATTTAAACACGTTAAGGATTGTAAAATTAATCGCATGCATTAACGCGTTAATGTTGACTGCCCTAATATATATATATATATATATATATATATATATATATATATATATATATATAATGGAAATCTAAAAGTTGCATTCAATTTTAATTGTAACTTTTTACATGCAGTATAAATTAGTCTATGTACAAGAGGGATAATTTTTGGTAGATTTTGGCATAAAATGGTTTAAACCGCCCTAATCTAAGGCACTGTCCCTGTAGATGGAGCACTCACTATATTTTGACACTTCCTCTGTCTTCTCTCCCTGAACGTTAACAGTGTTCGTCTCTCCTCTGCTCTCTTTCCCCTTTTCCTCCCCATGTTTCGTTCATTTGTGCCCCTCTTTCTCTTCTCCATTCTCTTTCTTTTTCTGTTTTTCCCGCTCTGTCTGTGTGCTGCATATGTGCTGGTGCCTTGTGTCTCTCTGTTGCTAGTTTTTATGTCACCCTCATTATCCTCACATTTTCTACCTCAAATCCCAGCAGCTGAACAGCCAGGGAGCGGATCATGGCCACATCATGTATAACATGGACAGCGCCCAGCTTCCTGCACCCATCGACTTGAAAGCAGGTCAGGCTTTGCAGCAATTGCCGCCTTCTTCCCACAGGTTCAGAGCAGTGGTCCTCAACTGGTGGGTCCTGAACCAAAAATTGGTCACAGGTCTGAGAGTTATAGACAGCAGGGAATAAACAATCCTAAATGCAAATAATAAAATGCAACTAAATAGGCTTATTATTAGGACAAAATACTTCTCATATCTTGTTTTTGATGATGTCAAAGCCTTTATTGTATCTCTAATGTGCTTTTGCATCTATTAATTGGTAGAGCACTGGTTCGCGTGTCATGCCCTTGTTTTTAAAACCATGTAGGTATACTGCCCTACAAAGGCAAAAGACCTTAACTCGCTAGAGTGTGAAACTGAGAAAAATAACTTTAAAGTTTTTTACTTGTCCTGCCAAATTAATTATAGGTAGGACATAATGAAACGTTTTCGTAATGAAAATTGTATAGATTAAAAAATTGTGAGCTCAAACTTGATTTTTACCCCTATTTTGAAGTTAATGTACTCTGCCTTTGCATTTTCTCCAAAACGTGAGAAGTCACACCAAGGCAAAAGGCAGTAACTTCCACATTATCAATATTTGGTTGCTGATCACCATTTACAAAATCATTATAGTAACACCTGTATAAAATCTAGTGATCATGGGTTATCTCTTATAGGCTATTGCATATAGTAATGTGACTGTATAAAAACTATTTTTTGACCGTAACAAGCAGAATAAAAGTTAAACATGTGAATGGATACCGTGCATACCAATTTATTTGCTATGCTCATTAACGTTAAAGAATGCTAGACATAGTATAATTGCTTTTATATTGACTTGTATTAAATAGCCTAAACTAAAAGAAAGATTGATGTGAATGCCAGCAAGCAGGAATAATGCTCAGAATGCTTGTGGATTAAACATCTCCAATGACGTTCATCGCCATGGATTGATTTTATCGGGTTACAAGAAAAGCTAGGATATGGATTTAATTGTGAACTGTTAGTAGGCTAATGATTTTATGAATGATCATGCTAGCTGTGGCATTTGAGTCCACATGCGTCCAACTAAGTGACAGCCTGGTGAATAATCTGCATTAAAAAAGAAGAGAATTTTTTTTTTTAAAGGTTATTCACGATATGAATCAAATACACTGTGCAATTTATTTATGAATTATTTTATTTGTATTTTAGTATTTCAAATGCTTGTGGATTAAACATCTCCAATGACGTTCATCGCCATGGATTGATTTTATCAGGTTACAAGAAAAGCTAGGATATGGATTTAATTGTGAACTGTTAGTAGGCTACTGATTTTATGAATGATCATGCTAGCTGTGGCATTTGAGTCCACATGCGTCCAACTAAGTGACAGCCTGGTGAATAATCTGCATTAAAAAAGAAGAGAAATTTTTTTTTTAAAGGTTATTCACGATATTGCTGCCAAGGTATCTAGTCTTTACTGTGCTTTGTTATATGGAGCAGTTTGGTAGATCGCGATCTATCTAATTAGTTTGTCTACACCGTAATTAAAATGCGGCAGACTTTAATGGATGGTAAAAAACAAGAACACTGTATAACTCCTAACCGGCACCGTAACTTCATTTTGACGCACGGCTAAACAAAGGCAGAACGCCATAACTCAATTTGAGCATTCCAAACAACGTGAAAGAGCCGTAACTGGTGTTATACAGTGTTCTGCCTTGGTTTCTCCGGGGCTTTTCGAAGTTACGGTTGAGACTACCCATTTTTTTCTTGGAAAAAACAACGAAATTGACTCAAGATACTTATGCACATGATAAAGGATGTCTTGAATGTCCCAAAAATATCAACAACTCATTTTCGACAAAAATCTAAGTTATGGTCTTTTGTCTTTGCACGGCAGTATAGTTTTTGCAATTCATGTCCAATGTAAAATCTAGGTCCTTGAGCTAAAACAGTTGAGAACCACTGATCTGTTCTTCAGCCTTTTAATGTTTTTGAGGTTATGTAAAAGGTCACATTAAAAGCATACACTGAATACTGCACAAATAAAAATTTATTTTAGAAATATTAAAAAGCACCATTTTCATGATTGAATAATTTTATATAACCAACAAAATTACTGCAAATTACTTTTTTTATAAATTTATTCAAGTATGTATTTATTTATATTTTATTATTTAAATAAATAATATAAAATAATTTAATTTATATTTTAGTTTTATTATATTTTATACATTTATATTATATTTTATTTAATTAATGAAAAGAATCCCCGCAAATACACTGTGCAATTTATTTATGAATTATTTTATTTGTATTTTAGTATTTCTTTTTTAAGCACATTAAAAAGTTTAAGTTCAGCACTTTCATGGTGTTGCTTATTTTTATATTGACAACAAAATCACTGCAAATACATTGTATGTTTTTTTATTAATGGTTGTGTCTTTAGTGTATATTCTATTTAATTTTTTATTATTTTTTTATCCAAAAAAAGCTTGAGCAGCACTTTCATAATGTTGCTTACTTTATATTGCCAACAAAATCTGTGCAAATATATTGTGTATGTTATTAATTAATTAATTTTTATATTTAGTGTATATTCTTCTATTTAATTTTTCAAATTTCACATTTTTACATTAACATCACTTTAAAGCTGTTGCTTTCTGTGGCCCCACTTTATATTAAGTGGCCTTAACTACTATGTACTTACATCAAAAATTATGTACAATGTACTTATTGTGTTCATATTGTATTGCAAAACACTTTTGCTGCTATTGAGGTGGAATACGGGTATGGTTAGGGACAGGTTTGTTGGTGTGGGTAGGTTTAAGGGTGGGTTAAGGTGTAAGGGATGGGTCAACTGTGTAATTATAAATGTAATTACAGAAATTAATTTCAGATTAATTACATGCAGGTATTTTTAAAATATAAGTACAATGTAAAAACATGTATGTACACAATAAGTGCATTATACCAAGTTATTCATTTAAATGTAAGTACATAGTTGTTAAGGCCACTTAATATAAAGTGGGTCCCTTTCTGTTATATTGCCAACAATATTACTGCAAATACATTGTCAATTTTTTATGTCACTTTGATATTCTTTTTGATAATATATGATTCTCACCAAAAACATGAGCAAACTGTGAAGTGAATTTCTGTATTCTCAGGATTGTATCAGTATTTATTTGTATTTTTATGTACCCTACTCTATCAGTTTATATAGCTCTAATGCATTTCCTTGTTTACTTTATGACTCTAGATGACAAGCCAAAACTAGAGTTTGCCTCGCAAAGATCTGCATCTCCTGGATTGCAGCAGCCAGAGACTCCATTGGAGAGAAGAGATCCTAGCAGCCCAGTCCAGGCGCCCTCTTCCCCACAGAAAACTGAGCTTCCCCCCTCCTGCCCAGAGACGGCCTCAAGTGTAGCTACTGCCCCGACTCCTTCCATACCTGCCTCAACAGTGGAGTCAGCTGATGCCCCGAGCCCATCAGCTGAGCCCGCCCTCACTAAAGCTATCACACCAGAACCTGAAAGCTCAGAGCCGGAGAAATCCTCCTCAGAGCAGCCCTCACCTCAGAGCCTGTCTACGTCCCTTGCCCAGCCTGAAAAGGCCATCAATGGGCTTATGGACACCGATGCTGCTCCCTCGAGTGAAGACTTGGAATCCCAACCCAGGGAAGTCTCTCCGTTGCTGCCTACTTCTAGTGTGCCCCAGTCCCCCAGCCCGGAGCCCAGGCCCATCACACCGGCGCTGGAGGCCGAGTCTGCAGCGGGAAAGGCGGATAGCCCCTCGCCCCCTGCTGAGGACAGCACTGGATGTCCCGTCACCCCATCCCTCGCCACCGCCACTACTGCTGCTATCTCCACCACACCTGCTCCTCCTCCAGGCCTCACGCACCCGAGTCAGGTTTCTGCAGGGTCAGCCAAGAGACCGTCTACAGGAGCAGAGCTCAAGGAAACAGTGAAGGAGACCGAGGCCTTGCCGGACAAGAGAGGCGAGCCCTTCTTGCAGTCCAGAAAAAGCTCAAGTCAAGGTGAGCAGTCAGAATATACGCCTAAGATGCATTGCCATAATGTAGGGGTCGGTCGAATAACACAAGTCTTTTCTTTGTACAGCTACATCTAGTGCACCAAAGACCTGGAAGAAGCCAAAAGAGGACATACCTGTAGGGCAAGATCAGTGTCCGGACAAAGAGGTAAAATAGTTTTGCATATGTGCTTTTTGGGTCCATCATATTAGTGCATCTAGTTTTTATTATATTGCTCTATTATAAATAAAGTAATTCATTATAATTAATCACAACAAATAGGCATTTTTCATTGAATTTACAATCTTATCAGTTTAGTTATTTTATAATTATTTTATATTTATAAATGGATAATATTAGTGCTATTTTTAATCACGATTAATCGCATTATGCACAAAATTCAATAATGAATTCAAAAGTAGTGTATTGTGCACTTTTTTAATTTAAAAGTACTGCTATATGAACAAAAGTGCAATAACATTTGGTTTGCAAACACTTTAAACAAATAAGGTGCTTTTTTACAGCAGTATTCCTTTTACATAGTAGCAATTAAAATATTTATTTTAAATCTCAACTTATAACATTAATGTAATCAAATTATATATAAAACCAAAGCTATTTGCCACTTCCAGGGCATTAACGTTTTTATAGAAAATATTTTATAGTTTGTTATAGAAAAACAAGTTATGCTCCGAGTCCAGAGCCTCGATCATAACATTATAACAGGCACCTTCTGAGTACGGTTCAGTTGGGCTTGGGCACGGTGCGCATGTAGTGCCGAAGCACAGAACTTCTGATAAGTGCAGCATGATTGCGTTAACATTTCTGAGCGGCAAAATTGATAGATCTGTAAAGCAGTATATTGCAAGAGGGGCATGTGTAATCGCGTCCCAAACGACTCAAAATAATAAACCACAAAGTTAACGAAACAATGCACTCCACTGTGCTGAACGAGAGCGCTTCTCTGCTGTCTTCACGTGCTATCGGAAACTTCCTATTTCCCACTTATGAAGTTGTGAGTGCTTCATGTGAGCGCTGCTGCAGTCTTAGGCCCACCCCAAATGCTCTCATTGGTTGAGACGCGTGGTGACACCCATCCCAAGCCTATACTGATCAACATCTCACCCCTCCTGTGACCCATGGTTTGTCTGTATGTGTATTCAGAGCCAGAGAGCAACAGACTTTCATAAGAATAAAAAAACTGCGTTAATGCGCGATTAAATTATTGTTGGTGTTAATCAATTAATGCATTAACGCGATAACGCGTATATATATATAAATCATAGCTTATACACATTTGATACATCAGGCTTTTGTGTGTATATAATATGTATATGTACATTATCGATAGACAGATACATAGATGGATATATAGATGGACTAATCCTATTACATTTGGAAAATTAAAAAGCTTAAATATAATGAAAATAGCTGAAATATAATGTTCTCAGTACCACTGTGCTCAACAAGGCAGCCCAAATAACATAACAGGCGATGTGCTGTCTGCCCCACGATAACCTCCCCTTCCTGGGGTGCGTCGAAAGACGAGGATCTTGTATCGACGATAGCCAGAGATATTGTCAAAAACATCAATTATTGGCAATATTAAGAGGATTTGGCATTTTCAATTAATGTAGCCCTGTTACATTGTTATTTTTATTAGGCTTATTATTATTATGAAGCTACTTTTATTATTAAATTAAAATGACAATTAATTTGCCCCGCAATATTACCGCATAACTGACGCGCTGTGAGGATAACAAAAGATAAGGCTATTTGCTCCTTAATTAAAATGTTTTTAAAAAGGTATTTTTTAAACAGGTCTATTAATAAATATATATAATTAATCAAAGGCCTATAATTAAAATATTAACACTACAGTCATCAATAAAAATCAATGAAATAAAAAGCTTTATTTAGCCTATTTAAAGTGCCGACTTTCAAAAACAACCTGTTTAACACCAAATATATATTTTTTTACTATGTACGGGCCACAAGAGAAATGTTAAGGGAATAAATTAAAACAGTTAGCTATATACCGTAATCAGCATATGTTGAAATAGGTCCGTCTCTCGTCATCTCTGAGAGAATATGCGGCGTCAGATGCCGAAAGCTCTGTCATTCTGCTTTTACTTTCATTTTCTAGTGATATTCATTGGCTTGCCTTCATGGTATAAAACATAAATATTTCCAACATTGTGACGAAAGCAATTACCCAACCCCCCTCCCTCTATCGAAAACGTACCGAACCGTGACACCACTGTGTCGTATCGAACCGAACTGTGAATTTTGTGAACCGTTACACCCCTAATTATTATAGTGAAAATTTTTAATAATGATAGGGAAGGCTACATATATAAAAAGCACATATAAATGTGAGTTTCCTCTCTAAAAGTGTCTTAGTAAAATGCTATTTCAATTTTTATTTAATTGAATTTAATGAATAAATGGTTACTGATGATTATTATTGTGGTAAGCATAATACCTCTTGAAATGCATTATAATTTTCAATACAATTATTTAAAATTAGCAAAAATTCATAATCATGACAGACCTTTTGTTTGTATTAGTCTCTACATGCTACTTATATATGCAGCAGTGTTTCAAGAATTTGAATGTGATTTGACAAATCCAGTTGCTTATATTCAAACTAGTTTAAGATAGGCTTAAAGTGTGTGTGTGTGTGTGTGTTTGGTAGGAGGACGTGGATCAGTCCTCTATGGAACCTGCTGCAGAGAGCCCCAGTCCTCCTCCTGTGGAGGTGGAGTGGAGGCCGTCAGCAGGACCTGTGCTTGAGGAGAACGGAGAACAAGAAGCAGAGCCTCTGAGAAACGGGGCTGAACACGCCTCTGAAACCGAAAGCAGTGAGAGCATGCACCCGCCTGCAGTCAAAGAGCCGCTGATCAAAGCAGTGCCACGTAAGGCCATCTCTCTACAACCTTCTCTAGTTTTCCCCATGTGTATCTGCCAGGTTTTACCACTGAAAGCGTTTCTGCTCTTCTGCAGAGCCTGCAGAGAAGAATGGAAAGAAGCAGTACGACAGAGACTTCCTGTTGGGCTTCCAATTCATGCCTGCATGTGTGCAGAAACCAGAGGGACTTCCTCCCATTTCTGATGTTGTTCTAGATAAGGTCAGACAATATTACACAGACAGTTCATTAAAAAGGTTAAAACAATAGCTTCTACTATGTGAACACATTAAATTGACAGCCCTATTTTGAACATGTATATCGTGGTTTTCAAAGCAGTGTCTATTAAAATTAATAATTGAAAATTCCCATAGAAATTTCTCCATAACCATAATTAAGTTTCACTGCCCCATTAAATGGACTGCTATGGAAATAAAGGGATATTGTAACCTGATTATGGCCTTCTGTTAAATCTTTGTAAAACTCATTACTGCTCTTGTACAGAGCAGTAAGTTGTTCTTTAAGAGAAGCCTAATGTGTTTCCGCCTCGCTGAACAGATTAACCAAAATAAGCTGCCCATGCGGCCGGTAGACCCACGTGTGATTTCCAGAGGCCCGGACTTCACGCCAGCGTTTGCAGATTTTGGCCGACAGATTCCAGGAGGCAGGGGAGCACCGGTTCGTCACAACTTCCTTAATCTCACACCCATACAAAAAAATAATATGGAGTTTTGTTTAATTACTACAGTAAGTATACAGTTATTATGCTCTCGAGATCTTTAATTTAGCTACAATTTATTGCTTCACCCACAAATACACTCCTACTGAAAATCTATTTTCGCAAATATTATTCATAAGTACTAATACAAAAATCAGGGAAACATGAGCCTTAACTCCATGTAAAATTAATATTTAAAACTCTTATTTATTAAAACATTCTTTATAAGTATGTGCATATGAATAATCAGACAGATACACAGAAATTATCAATATCAGCTGCTCACCTTCATGTTACTCTGAACTTTTCCTCAGCACACAAAAGGAGACGTTTAGCATTTATGAGCAGTTTGTCACACATTCCTTTGCTTATCCCCCACTGCCATAAATATATAATACAATAAGTCATTTGTTATGCTCTCTATCTTAAATGTTATTAAATTCTAACTCTTCACATACAAATAAAAGCATTTTCAATTTATATTACTTTAGATACACTCTTAAATATGTAAGCTTATAGGTAGTGAAATTCAATTTAAAATGCAATATGCAAAATGGCAATGCAATATTAAAAATGGCAACGCAATATTCAAAATGGCATTGTATTTCTGTATTTAAATTGACATTTTCCATTACCCATACGTGCAAAGTTTGATGCAAAAGTAAAATGAAAATTAAATTATATAATTTACATTTGCCATTGAATTTCGCTACCTATATGCTTCCATACTTAAACACCTATTATCCCTGCCTGTACTACATGATTATTTCTGCTCCCTCAGCTGCTGAATGTTGGCCTGCGTCGCCCACCTGGACGCAAGATCATCACAAACGTGACGGTGAATGATGAGGTGCAGCTGAAGACAACAGAGCATGCCTGGAAACCTGGCATGAAGCGGGACAGTGTCATTGACGATTCAGAGACCATGAAAACTCAGGTCTTCCTGCACTTTCACTCCGTCTGGAACCATATACATATTTCAGATGGCCTTATTTTGCAGTACAAAGAAAGCATGTTGTGGTATCCAGATGTTCAGCTATGATTGAATAATTTATTACATCATTACTTCCTCTAATATGGAGAGGAAATGGAGCTTGGGATTGATTGTTGCCTTCAGTAATGGAAAGTAAAGGACACTCGGTAATGTGTTCATTGATATTTTTACAGGAGCTTTTCCGAAAAGTCCGTAGTATTCTCAATAAATTGACGCCGCAGATGTTCAGCCAGTTGATGAAGCAGGTGACTGACCTCACCATTGACACGGAGGAGCGGCTCAAAGGTGTCATAGACCTGGTTTTTGAGAAAGCCATTGATGAACCCAGCTTCTCTGTGGCCTATGGCAATATGTGCAGCTGTCTGGCCACGGTGAGTCAGACTTTCCATTAAAACCAGGGTTTGTTCGAAAAGATCAATGATATACAAGTTTAGTAGATCACTGATTAATTATTTAAATGTTTATTTGTGATTTTGGGAGCAAATTGAAATTGGAAACTGAGTGTGTTTAGTTTGGTGAGTGCACGTCTAAATTAGTCACATGCTGTGTTTGTAGTTAAAAGTGCCCATGACGGATAAGCCCAACAGCACTGTGAATTTCCGGAAGCTTCTTCTGAATCGCTGTCAGAAGGAGTTTGAAAAGGACAAAGTGGATGACGATGCCTTCGAGAAGAAACACAGGGAGCTGGAGGCAGCTACCTCAGTAAGTCCTTCAGCACCAAAAGTATCACTAAAACTGTTCTTAAATGGATCACAGGCCATTCAAATTGCCTTGATGTAATTGCCTAGAATAACATGTGATATGAGAAGGTTTCTTAGAATTATTTGTGTGGATTTAAATGACCTGCAAAACATTTTCAGCAATTATATTCCATACATTTTCTTCCATCATTTATTTTTTTACTAATGATACAGTAAATCTTTAAAAAAAAAAAGTTTTGCTAATATTTATTGTACTTGTAAGTACAGATACAAAAATTAATGGTACATGAGCCTTAACTCAATTAAATATAAAATTAGTATTTAACATTTTTTGTGTACAGTTCATTATTTTTTTATAATTATGTGCATATGAATAGTTAGTTACTGTCATCGACCCTCATGTTACTCTGATCTCATAGGATTTTTACCGTAAAAGCAGTCAATATAAGTCTAACTTGTGCTGTTTTTAAGTCTTTTAAAAGTCTTTGTGTAACTTTGTGATTATGAAATTCTGAATTCTGAAAATCTAGTCGGCATGACAATTCACCCTATGTGTTTTCTAAATGCGTGTTATTTTATTTCTCAAAATTCTCAAAAAAACAAAAAACATTTTCAGGCAAAATAGTTTTTGAGGGCCATAATATTTGACCGATGCGTGATGTGTCTTGACTGTTTTAGCATTTATTTCATGCATACAACATGGATATGTTACAACAGGTGAACGTCAAAAAAAGATGCTTGAGTAGCAATACGAAAATTTGAGATTTTGAGAGGCGACTTGTTGAGGATTTGACATTTAAAAACAGTCTACCGAGTTCAGTTACCCAAATTGAATTGCCGAAACCTTAGCTTCAGTTTAAGGATAATGAAAACTTTAATTTTGGTTTTGGTGTTTCAGTGCATCACTACTTCTGTCTGGTGATGTATGCCGGATTTCTCCAATCATTTAGTCTGCTTAAACTCCACCCTTTTCTGACAATCCACTGCTAGCTCGCATTTAGATCTGCCTTCATCCAATCAACAACCAATGAATTGAACCCCTACATTTTTGCTTTTTCGATAATACGTTTATTTCAGAAAGAAGTCACAATACAGAAGAAAATATCTGTCACTTCCATTAAATTCCAATAAAAATTCACGAATATAAAAAATTCCAAATAACAGTGTTACATTTTTTGCAATTTCTTTTTGCAAAGAAATAAAGACTGAAAACTCAATATTAAAAGTTACAATAAGGGCTTCTGAAAATAATCTTCAATTGTAGTCTGGGTGCTTCTATTCTTCATAAGCAAAAAGATGCAGATTTTACTGCAGCGGACACAGCGATCATTTCTGACTTGTCGTCCTCTCTCTCATTCTCACTTTCAGGTTAGCGAGCGGGAAAGGCTGCAGGAGGAGCTGGAAGAGGCGAAAGATAAGGCCCGCAGACGCTCCATTGGCAACATCAAGTTCATCGGTGAGCTCTTCAAGCTGCGGATGCTGACAGAGGCCATCATGCACGACTGCGTGGTGAAGTTGCTGAAAAACCACGATGAGGAGTCACTGGAGTGCCTGTGCAGGCTGCTCACAACTATTGGCAAGGACCTGGACTTTGAGAAAGCTAAGGTCAGCGGTTTATCCTAATCGGGAGGATGTCCTATATAATGGGCATTAAGAATAACTGTCCTTCTAATCTGTTAATTGCTGCTGCAGCCCATGTTAATGCATAGAGACTCTTGCTTATTTCAATGCAAATATGCAAAGTAATCTATGTGTTGGCCATTCTTTGCACTGCAGTGGTGGAGTTCTGCATAAACTAGTATTCTTTGGCCTCTCACATCCACAGAGCCTCGTTTATGTCATCTGCTCTTTGGAAACAAATCCCAAATGAGTCATTTTAATGTGCTCTGCTTCCAAAACTCACTTTGGATTCAGCTGAGAACTGTGAGGGTGGTGCCTAATGCACTTGAATGGGTAGTTCATCCAAAAATGAGAATTCTGTCATTATTTACTCACCCTCGTCTCATTAGTTGAACTTTTGTTTTACTTTAATTAAAGGCGAATGTCAATTCATGTCAGCAAAGTCCATTATATAGTATATGGGGGTCTATTGATGTTTTCAAGTCTTTTTTGAAGCTTGTGAATCTTATTCACAGTCTTAATCTTATTCTTTTTTTAGCCACGAATGGATCAGTACTTTAACCAGATGGAGAAGATAGTAAAGGAGAGAAAAACTTCATCGCGCATTCGGTTCATGCTGCAGGATGTTATTGACCTGCGATTGGTGAGTTCTGTTATCCGTTTGTTTTGGAACGGTGATCAAAGAAAGCTTTTCAGTAGCCTGTGAACCAAACGTACAACATTTTAATTTGAAACTCAAAAAATAAAGACAAATGTACAACATTCTGTCATTAAGATCTTTGTAAGAGGGAATGAATTAACTACTTCTCAAAAAGCTTAAACTCAAGTATATGTTTAGTTTGTCAATTTTAACTGTGATATAATGCTTATATGTATACACTATTGTTCAAAAGTTTGAGGTCTTTAAGAGTTGTATTTAATTTTTTTTTTTTTAAATAAGTCTCTTATGCTCATCAAGGCTGCATTTATTTGATCAAAAGTATAGTAAAAATAGTCATGTGAAATATTATTTCAGTTTTACCTGTTTTCAATTTTTATTTATTTTAAAATGTAATTTATTCCTGTAATGGCCAAGCTGAATTTTCATCAGCCATTACTCCAGTCTTCAGTGTCACATGATCCTTTATTATCAATGTTGAAAACAGTTCTGCTTAATATTTTGTGGAAACCATAATACATTTTTTCAGGATTCTGGAATGGAATGTTCAAAAGAACAGCATTTATTTAAAATAAAAATCTTTTTAAAATGACTTTACTGTCACTTTTTCTGAATAAAATAAATGTATTTAAAAAAAAAAAAAGTTTTTTAATACATAATACAATTTAATAATGGTAAATAGGACATAGGCAAAGAAAGAACATAAGAAATTAAATGAACATTTATTTTGTACAATATTTACTCAATATACAAAGAAATTGAAATAAATAATTGTTTAGCCATTGAAAAGTTTGTAGGTAGGGATGTGGGGGACGTGATCCTTCTTTTAATCGACCAAGTAGACACTTAAAATAGTTAATATTGTTAATAATATTTATGAACCCTGTTGTTGAACTTTATATAGGGTGAGTACTTTGAATATTTTATTTCTTCCCTCATTTCAGCACAATTGGGTGTCTCGGAGAGCTGACCTTGGCCCAAAGACTATTGAGCAGATCCATAAAGAGGCAAAGTTGGAGGAGCAGGAGGAACAGAGGAAGGTCCACCAGCAACTGCTGTCCAAGGACAACAAGAGGAGACCAGGTCAGAAAGAGACTTCTGCTGTAGGCTAATCCTCTTTACAGCTTACTCAGTCCTGTGGGCCTCCTTTTCTTTTTTCACTCTCTGATGAAGCAGCTGTACTCTGTTCCAGCCATTCTTTCTCTTAATGTTGCAGTGGTACAGAGAGAGGAGACCTGGAGCACTGTGCCTACGACTAAGAACAGCAGAACAATAGACCCCGCTAAGATTCCCAAGATCTCAAAGGTAAAGTCCAGATGTCAAACTAAAAACACATTTTCATTCTAGTCACATCTTGAGATAGCTAGCATAACAGAGTTTTAGAGGAAGAGATTCTATATCTGCCGTTCTGCATTTTTTCATACTCCCCTATGATCTGTTTGGAAGTAAGAAAGCTGCATCTTTATGTAAACAATTGATCTTATAAGCTGAATCACACTTGTGGAGGTCGTGCAAACTACAGCTTGCTACATGTCATTGATTGTGCTTTGCAGAGTGCTGCTTTAAAACATGTTGACTTAAAGCATTTCACCCAAAAATATATATTTATAAAGAAAAATAATATATATATTTTTTATTCATTCATTCATTTTATACAAAAATAACTTTTCCAGTAAAAAAATTAAAATAAGTAAATTTTTTTGGATGTGTTAAACAATATATTTTCATATTTTGTGAAGGACTTTTCTACTAATAGGTCTTAACTGGAGGCCCTGTATAACTGCGCTTGATTTTACCATGCAAACTGTCTGACAGCTAAAGCACAGCATAAGCGCAATTAAAACACTACTGCAAAACATCTAAACTAAAACAAAAAAGATCTGGATGAACTTTCTAGCCCTATTGGCATATCTCTTGTTTTAAGCATAAATATAACAATATTTATTGAGTCTTAATGGTGTTAAAATAAAATTTTAACAGGAAAAGGGTCTAAAATATTGATTAAGAAAAACATATTTTTTTGCTTAGTTTGTTTATAAGTATGCTAATTAACTGTTTGACTCAACAGCCCCACCTGATGGTGCTTCTGTTTCCTTGTGTAGTAGCATCTTGGTATCTCATTGATTCTTAATTGTGATTCTGGGGATCTGCAGTGCTGCTCATTTTGCACCTTTTCTTACAGACTAAGCGCAGTTCATAAAGCTCTCTGCTGATGAGCTGCTAATTTGAATGATGTCTGTAGATCCCCAAGAAACACTCATCTATATGAATGTATGAGTAAATATAACATGTTCTTACTAAAACTGGTTGTGTGTGTTTTTTTTTTTTTCAGCCAACGATAGATGAGAAGATTCAGCTGGGACCAAGAGCTCAGGTGAACTGGATAAAGGGCAGCAGTGGAGGGGCTGGAGCCAAGGCCAGTGAGTCAGGTAAAGAAATACTGTTTTAGTCAGACGTGGGCTACTGGCTCTGTCAATTCTGGTTGTTTCATAGTTTATGCAATATTTTCTGGCTCTATACTTTGTTTACTAATATAAAATTGATTTAATGGCTTCTTTTTTTCCCTGTATCGCACCCTTCTTCTTTTAGATGTCTCTCAACCTAGTGCCAGTTTAAATCGTTACTCACCCCTGCAACCCTCAGTGCCCCTGGCCTCCTCTTTACCCTCTACATCCCCAGATTTTGATGCCAGGAGAGTTCTCAGCAGGTATTGTACGCATGTAAAATATAGTCATTGAGACGGAGAAGACACCTTTTCATTAATACATTTCGTCTTAATGCAAGAACACATCCCTCACTCATATCACTCATTCTGTGCTGCCCTATTATTAATATTAGAAGTAGGGATGCACCGAAATGAAAATTCTTGGCCGAAACTGAACAAAATGAAACACTGGGCCGGAGGCCGAATACCGAACACGGTTTTTCGAGTTTTTTTCCCCATGTATTTTGCCAATTTGTTTTCACCATTGCACAAATTAAATAGCCAAAATGTGCTTTTTACTGTTTTGTTTTGCTTTTCAAAGAAAAAATCTATTACAAAACAACAATTTAAAAATATTTAACACTGAACATTTTTTAACATTGTAGCAGACATTATACCAACAAAGCACAATTTAACTTAAAATTAATAAGTTAGTAAAATAATATTTTTTTGGCCATCAGACCCCCTTCTTGAATCAGGCATGTATTTTTTTACTATACAAATAAAAGCAGCCTTGCTGAGCAGAAGCGCCTTCTTCTAAAACATTAGAAAATATTACACATCCCAATTTGAACACTATGTGTGAATGTTATAATAAATGTATTAACAGAGCTGTTGTAATTATTATAATCCGTGTATCATTCGATCATTCGTTTTTTGATTTAATATTGAAAGTAGAAAAATTAGAAAACGGCTCCTTTTTCGTTTTTTGTTTTTTTTTCTCCAAAAAACGAAAAACAAGAATTCAGCTTAAATTTTCGTTTTTCGTTCATGGGTGGAAAAATGAATAAACAGCTTGAATATTCGATTTCTACACGTGGGCGGGCATTAAACACCCCTTTCTGCTGATTGGTCAGCCGAAGATCAAACCTTGCCATCATCAGTTCTTCCGCAGTATCCAGAATAATAGTCCCCTGCTGCTGCAGTTGTATGGATTCTTAACACATTTATTGCAACTACATTTAATCTTTTTTCATCAAACAAACAGGCTAATGAATAGCTCGACTCAACTCATACCGGGGCAGAGTCTAGACAGGGCTTTCTTCTGTGTAGATATAAATTCTATTCTTTGCATCAGCTGGGCATGGCAGGGTATGATATGACAGCTGTAAACGCAAGTAAATCTGCAACGCAAGATTTTCATAAAATATAATAACTTGCCATTTCGGTTTGTTTCTCACCAAACCCTCAGTATACCTTCAGAATGCTTGGAATATACGCCACGAGAAGCATAGGATTATTTTACGACAGATATGCATCCGCTTCAAAACAAAAAACAAAACCTAAAGTCACCATTCTCTGCCATTGAATTGACAAGTGCCAGCAGGACATTTTTGTGTTATTAAGTAATAAGCATTTTTACGTGTAGAAATCGAATATTCAAGCTGTTTATTCATTTTCCCACCCATGAACGAAAAACGAAAATTTAAGCTGAATTCTCGTTTTCTAATTTTTCTACTTTGAATATTAAATCAGAAAACGAATGATCGAATGATACACGGATTTATTATCATTATTATTGTCATACTTTTTAATTTTATTTAACAGAACAACAGTAAAATTACCATACTAACATTTATGAATGTTGATAGGTATCGCATTGACACGTGCCTTGTAAAAAAATCATAAAAATGTGACTGAGCAACTGACGAGTAACACAGTTTCAGCGCAGATTTTCCTTGCGCTTTGGACTTGAACCCTGGTTAACGAGCAGATCCGCCGCGAGCTCGTGAAGCTCTGTCAGAATACATGCAATTCGTGCATGTATTAGAAAACATAACGTTCTGTAGTTTATTTACTAATTGTTTAAGGCCATTTCGTTAAGGCCAATCACCCCTTCCTCTTCTCATCGAAGACATGAGATGCAGGACTGAACAGTCTCTCGCTGTCGTTGCTTGTAATGATTTTTGCGTCTTTCCCGGATAGTTTAAATGCTTCCACACTGCTGACATGTTTGTTGCATTGCGCCTCTCACTCTACGCTGGTTGCTATTTGATCGCGTCACGTCATTGCTCGGTACAGTTTATTCGGTCTTTTCACTTATTCGGTTACCGAACATTCGGTGTATCCCTAATTAGAAGCTTTATAATTATTATACCTTACATTTTTAGAATTAAGTAATATTTGAATAATTATTCAAATATATTATAAATATTATTTTTCAATCCTATAATACATTCAAATAAACATATAAAACATTATATAAATTAAATAATAATAAGTAAACTTAACATTTTAGCAAATTTTTTTATTAAAATATTATTTCATTTGTAATGAATTGATAGAAAACATGATTCTATGAATCATGATTCATGAATGTCTGTTTTTGCGTGTTTGTGAATTTCTCAGTCGAGGAAGCTCAGGACGAGAACGTAATGATAAGGCTTTGAGTACAGGCCCCGCACGGACAGGGCCCATCTCATTGGGTAGCAGCAATAAGGAGGCTCCTGAGGAGTCTGTCCAGGAAGTGTCCCGCAGAGACTCGAATGCCTCAGACACGCCCAGGCTGCCCGCCAGCACTGCAGACAAAAGCAGACTGGAGCGTAGCCAATCCAGGGAGTCTGGTGAGCCGCATGGATACCCTCGCACACATTATAATGATGCACAAGAAATGATGTTGAAATACATATAGAGAATCCAACATTAAAGGCTGTCTCTCATTGCAGCTGTTAAACTTGAAGTACTGTCTGGACCCTCTCCAGATAAGCCTACATTAACGGAAGAGGACATGGAGAGGCGGTCCAAGTCCATTATTGATGAGTTTTTGCACATTAATGATTACAAGGTTTGTACCAAAAATGCCACTTATAATACTTTATCTCCCAGTCCAGAATGGCAGTGAGAGCAGGGTTCCTCAAATCTTGCCCTGGAGGGCCAATGCGCTACGGAGTTTAGCTCCAATCCTGATCAAACTCACCTACCTGTGATTTTCTAATGATCCTGAAGACATTGATTTGCATGCTCAGGTGTGTTTGACTAGGGTTAAAGTTAAACTCTGCAGGAAAGTGGATCTCGTGGGCCAGATTTGAGGAACCCTGCAGTAGAGGGTTTTCTAAGCACAGTATACTTGTAATGCAGGAGGCAGTGCAGTGTGTGGAGGAACTAGAGCAACCTGCCATGCTCTATGTGTTTGTGCGGGTGGGTGTGGATTCCACGCTGGAGAGGAGTCAGATCACGCGAGACCATATGGGTCAGCTGCTCTACCAGCTCCTGCAGGCTGGAATCCTCCACAAACTTCAGTTCTTTAAAGGGTGAGATTGCAGTACTTGCAGAAATGTAGAAGAAAACAGATTCTTATAGTCTTTGCATTGGTTATGTTATGTGTGCTTTTGAATTTTGTTCCAAAATGTAGTAAGCAGCCTCGCTATCCATTATCTACTAAGGTAGCATGAGGCGATAAGCCTTTTTAAATTCAGTGTATTACTGATGCTTACATTTTTGTTACAATTTTAACGATACCATTGCCAATACTGATTGTTTCATACATGGGTATGTGATTTTTCAAAACAATGTAATCTTTCAAAAGAGCTCCAGCCAACTTTTAAAAAATTGTTGTATTCCATTTTGGGATTTTAATATATTTGTTTCTTCCCCCAGGTTCTCTGAAACTCTTGAATTAGCAGATGATATGGCCATTGATATTCCCCATATATGGCTGTACCTTGCGGAGCTGGTGACCCCTGTGCTTCGAGAGGGGGGAGTCTCTATGAGAGAATTATTTAGGTGAGGTTTTACCCAGCAGGCACTTGCCACAGAGTTATTGAACTCACCAGTACACACCTTTTATTTGCTTATTTTGTTTCTGCAGTGAATTTAGCAAACCATTACTCCCTGTGGGAAGAGCTGGGATAATATTTTCTGAAATATTGCACCTTCTATGCAAACAAATGGTAAGCTGTAAGATTTTAATCAAACATTTTGTTTGTATTGCCACATGTGTAACATTTGTTAGTGTGAGGATAGTGGGAATGAATGGATTGTGTGTTTGCAGAGCCATAGGAAAGTGGGATCATTATGGAGGGACTCTGGGTTGAGCTGGGCAGATTTTATACCTGAAACGGAGGATGTGCACAGCTTCATCACAGAACATGTGAGCCTTCATTTACATTCTCTTAGACATTTAATATATGCTAACCATCAAAACTCGCCTATTAATCAGCTGTTCCATACTGAACGAGTGATAATAATTTACCTTCCTACAGAAACTAGACTTTCTGTATATTTCTGCTGAAGGGCACAGGTAGCTAAATATGACATTTATTATAATGGGTTTATGTGAAGATGTGTTAAGTTCACTTAAATTAGAAGGTTTTTTTTTAAGAGTCTAATAAATGTTCAAATTGATAGCTCTCAGTTATACTATAATGCTGAATGGCTATAGTCAATGGTTAAATATTAGGGGAAACAATTTTATAGAGACATCAGTAGTGTTGGTATCAGTGATACTGGCCTTCAGTCATTAAAAAGATGGCATTAAACATTAAAAATAGACAGTCTTTGTTGTTTGTACATTAATTTGAAGATTGAATTATTACAATATAAAAGTATATTTAAAAACTTTATTGTTAGGTGGAATTAATCGGGATCAATTTCAGAAAAAATGTGATCAATTAATTTTTTTAATCGATTGACAGCACTATTATGTATATTTATATAATAAAAAATACCTTTATACTATAAAATGAACACTATGGAAACTATTTTGGGAGATGATTCACCAAATAACAGTTGTTAGTAATTGGATAGTAGTGGATATACAGTTATGCAAATTTTAGCACATTTTAGTATGTGGTACAGTTTCAAATGCCAAAATGTCAAATACGCCAATCTTGTGTTTTCTCTCTGCAGCTGAGGGCTCCTCATACAAAGTGGACTTGTCCATAATCCAGAGGAGATTGCCTGTATTACACAAGTACTTTAACTCGGACACAGAGAGACAGTTGCAAGCACTTTACGCACTTCAAGTATTGATCGTAAAACTGGACCAGCCTGCTAGTGAGTAAAACCTTTCACATTCCCATTTAGACACACAACCCATGGAATATTTGTGTTATAAATGCTATTCTACAATGGATGCTATTTTTTTTATGTTGATATTTTGAGTGATCACCATGAGATTAAAATCATTTTATTTTCTTAACATTTTTGCAGATTTGCTTCGGATGTTCTTTGACTGTTTGTATGATGAGGATGTGATATCTGAAGATGCTTTTTATAAGTGGGAGGTCAGTAAAGACCCCGCTGAACAGCAAGGCAAAGGTGTGGCCCTGAAGTCAGTCACTGCCTTCTTCACGTGGCTGCGCGAGGCAGAGGAGGAATCAGAGGACAATTGACGAGGGGACAAATGGACACATTTGCCAACTAGTTCTGAAGAGACAATAGTCGCTGAAACAATAACTGCATCAAATTAAAATGTAACATAACAAGCAACACATTATGCATCAGGATGGATGGAGTGCAGCAAGATTTGGAATGGTACGGTTCACTGACATACAGCGATCCTACAAATTGCTGGAGCACTAAAAAAAATGTATTATTTATAGAAATGTTGCAGTTGAGTTTTTTATTTTGTTACTTTTTAAGAGGACTTTAATAATACAAACCTGCAACTATGAAATGAAACAAGTTCAGACTCTTTAATTTTTTTTTTTTTTAAGAATAGCATAAACAAAAGGGTATTTTAACATTTGCGGACAGACACAACGAGCAGTTATCGGCGGATAGAGAAATAGCAATGATAATTTTATTATTAATATAATGACAACAACAATGATTAAACAACTTCCATGATTTTCCAATTGTTGAAAAACTTTTTTGTTGGATGAGCACAGAGAAGACCTGCTCTGCGTTTAGTACATCAGTACTGAAGTGTTTAGTACATGTTTCAGGTTATTATCTCAATAACCATACCAAATGTTCCTCTGCTTTAGCTTGCTATTTGTGAAACATTTAATCTGGCAGAAACTTGCAGGAACTATGCATTCAGGGGACTGCTGGGATCACATGACGAGAGCTCAGAATGGACATCAGCGAGCAGATGGTGGCGTGTACAAAACCACTAAAGGAGATGTTGCTGAACCTAAAGTGCTTGTTATTCTTCATACTGATAGAGCAAATTTAAAGCTTGTAAATAAATTAAAGACAAAAAAGATTCATAAAAGTACAAAACCGTGGTGATGGTGTGAATTTTCTACAGTGTTGTCAGTGAAGCCTTGTTGGTTTTGTGTGACAATACACTAATGTTCAAAAGTTTAAGAATTTGTTTTTTAGTCTTTCTGAAAGAAGTCTCTTATTCTTACCAAGGCTGCATTTATTTGATCACACATACAGTAACAACAGTAATATTGTGATATAATACAATTATTTAAACAACTTTTCTTTCTTTTACATTTTAAAATGTAATTTATTCCTGTGATCATTACTCCAGTCATTGTCACATAATCCTTCAGAAATCATCTTTATATGCTGATTTGTTGCACCAGAATTTGTTTTTTTATTACTATTATCAATGTTAAAAATGGTTGTGCTGGTTAATATTTAGCGCAAACCAAAATACTTCTTTTATACTTCTATTTTCAGGATTCTTTCATTAATAGATCAAAAGATATTTTGATTATTAATGCACCCTTGCTGAATATAAGTACTACTTTTAATACAAAAAAGAAAGTAAAAGGTAGAAAAGGTAGTGTATATGTAAGTAAATAATTGCAAAAAGGGGAACAAATGGTAATGCTTTACAATAAGATTTGTTCACATTATTTAATGCACTAGGTATCATGAACTAAAACACTTTTACAGCATTTATTAGTTCATTTATAAATGCACTATTGTTCATTCATTCATATTTAATATGTTATGCTCAATGTTAATTCATACCACCTTAAATGTCAAAATTAAAGTGAATTAATGCACATGGCAACTATGGCAGATGTTTGATTCCAGCTGATTTTAACTTGTAGAAGGCAAAGAATTTACTTTTTTGTGTTTGAGTCCAAAACTGTTAGGGCAATTCAAGAAACTTTCAATAAATAGGCCTACTGTCAGGTAGTTTGGACATTTTATGATTGATTTCCCACAGCATCTTTTAAAGGTGCATTCATTAGTTTTGTGCTAATTTAATATTCTTTACACATTGAGAAAAAAAATCGTTTTTGTTTAGACTCTTCTGAATGTCCATTCATTCAAACTAGTTTTCTTTGATGAATAGTGTATGTTGCGGGTCGCCCCATCACTGTATTTCGCCATGTTGAAATAACGTGACCCGCGGTGTAGTTTGGTGATGCCAAAATGTTCGGGTTTCTCAGCAGCGGAAGTCGTGATAGTTGGGTAAGTTAAACTTAGAGAGCAGTGAATGAGCAGTGAATTTCCTTTGCTCAAATAGCAAAAGAAAAAAACTCAACGATAGTGTTTTCATGACTTTCAATCAAAGGAAATAAATGAGAGAGACTGATGGCAAAGTTACCGTCCCTCCCATACAGTGTTGCCGACTCATTCTCAGGGGAAGTTGCTAAAGGAAGGTTGATTTGTTGCTAAATGATGTTGTGACGTCATTGAGGGATGTTGTGACGTCATTGAGGGATGACGTCATTACCTAATCACGACTCAAAATGGTCAAATCTCAGCAAAAACATATAAAAATATGTTCATTTAGATTTGTTCGTAATAATATAAATGCATAATATAATATTAAAATGTAAATAAACATTTTTAAATACACTGAATTATCGAAAGCTTACACATTTTTGAACGTGTTTTTGAAGTTTTTTTTATTATTATTATTATTAGCTAGTAAACAAGTAAAACTACAAATTCTGAACAATTACACTTTTAAGCAGTGTATCGGTAGTTAGTTAGTATGCTACACTCTGTAAAAAAAATACAATCTACTATGTTAATATGAAGGAATTTTCTGTATTGGTTTTTCCACAGGTTCTTTTTTTACCTGCATTTTTAATTACGCATTTTCGGGTTACAACGGATAATGTCCTGGAAAATTACTAGCACCTTTTCCATTTTTCTACATATTTTTCTAGTGTACTAACAGTTAGTACACTGTAAGAAAAATATGTAGAAAAATGGAAAAGGTGGCGAAAAAATGGAAAAACAACCTGCGATTACTAACTCATCAACAATCGCAGGTACAAGCTACTAACAAAGTGTCTCATAAATGAACAATAACTATTCAATTATGAAATTATTATTATTACTATTAAATTAAACAATTGCAAATAGCAGCTAACTTAATTCCTGTGATGTGTGTAATGCTAAGCATCTTTGGATTTTCTCTTTTTGTGTAATTTAAATGTTAAATTGTGCCTTTTTATTGTTTGAGTCACTTATCAAGAGTTGCTAAAAGTTGTCAAATTAATTTTAAAAATAGCTAAATATGTTGCTAGGTGCTTTTGGAAGAAAAGGTTACTAGGGTTGTCTGAAAAGTTGCTAAATTTAGCAACAAAATTGCTAGGTTGGCAACACTGCTCCCATAGACGCTGCATTAGAAACCTTGCATTAGCGTTAACTAGTTTTTATTTTTTTTATTTTATGCAAATGTGATATAATACAAAGTGTAGTATTATAAGTGTAC